AATCAGATGTTTCCCATCGTCAGATGGAATGACCTGGTCCTCCCATCACAGACTTCTTGTCATTCCTCTGGTTTCCTCCATTTCTACTTTTTTGAGGATCCTGTTTTTTCCCTCCCAACTGTAGAATGACTAAAGCACGACCACTGATGAGTGATTGAGCTGTCATACTTTACAGAGAGCGGAGGGCAATCACAGCGGCCGCAGTCTTATCAGTGAGCAAGAACAAGAAGGAAAGATAACAGGGTGCCATAAAGCGGGGCAGCAAAGAGTGACATCTGAGCAATATCAGTGTGTGTGTGTGTGTGTGTGTTCATAACGCTGTGTGTGTGTGTGTGTGTGTGTCCATAGGTGTGTGTGTGTGTCCTGACAATGTAGTTTTCTTGCAGTCTCCGGCACAATAATTGAATCTGGCTTTTCCTTTAATGGAACTCTGTGAAGTGTGGAGAAGCTGTGATGGCCCAGAACATCCAATCTTCACAAACAGGCATATGTTGCACACCATTGGACATGGATGCTGTGGTGCAGTATGTGTTTGTGAACTGTAGGGTATAAGATAACATGTTAACTCTGTTGCAGTGTGCAGTTTACTCACATACATTTTCAGTAACTCATGTGACCATGACTCTGTAGTCAGTAAGAAGTGATTAATTATTTTGAAAAAGACCAATGGATTTTGATGATTTAATAGATTACCAATACAATGATATAAAATAAAAGACATTTTTGAAAATGTTGCTGCATGAGGCCAATTGTGTTTCAATGAGTGACTGAAGGCTGACATAACCTTTGTTTGTTGACAAGAAAGCTCCATCATCATATCATTTTGACTTTAAATAATGGAGTTTTCACTTGTCAAATAAAGCCTCTTTTTTATTGTTACTGGGATAACAACCCTGCTTGTTTGGTATTTCAGGTGAGTGAAAGAGAATAAAAACTTTTCACACCTTCCACTAAATAATAACTTTATTTGAGGGTAAAGTCATGTTTTACAACCAGCAAGCCCGGCTGGTTTCACACTTGGAAAGTTTGGTTGTGTAAATAAGACCATAAAACAGCGGTGTGCTGTTCATGCTCTCCTTACTAATATGCAAGTTGCTTTTTTAGATTTAGATTTCCGTGGAGCTATTCTGTAGCGGGAACGGAGCCGAGTGATAAAATATATTTTCAGATGGTCCAAGATAAACATACTGAATTTGTTCATTAATGAAGACTTGCACAAATGTGACCTCTCCAATACTGAGATCGCAGACGATAAAACCTACATCACAACAAAGCAATGAGTGTAAGTGCGGAATAATAATTGAACGGGTAATTGAGGGTTACAAAACCTTGGGCTCAGTAAGAAAATGACCTAATGTCTGAGGTCAGTAAGAGGGCAGGAAGGTAAGTATAGTGTTCTCTCTCTCCTCAGCTGCAGTAGGTGTCTATAGTATATTAAATCATCAGGCCATGTCTGTTGTCTGGGTACAGTGTGTTAAATCTTGTTAGTCTCTATGTGAGTATACATTGCAAGCTGCATTAAATCATGCAGAACAACAAAAGCAAGGGACAGAATTACAGCTATTTGTCATGTCAGAGACTGAGGTTTACTGCTGTACAATACAGCACGTAAGATACAGAAATTGTGTCGACATGCACAAAAATATCCAATAAATGTAGGGTTTGTTCAGCTAAAGAAAAAAAACATAATTCTAATGGTAATTAGTGTTTTTGATTATTGTAAATGTTAAATGACAATTCGCAACCATTTCATTCCTTCCATACAGACAAAAATGCATGGTAGCTTAATAACTTGTATATTAACTGATATGACTCTAGATTGTGCTGAGCAGAGACAAAATGAATACTCAATAAAGAAATAAAGTCATTCATAATCTCCTATCAGTAGACAAGGATCCTGATGATTCTGTAAAACGAGCTACATCGAACTGATAACGGCACTGTTAAAGAGCAACTCACTATCAATCAAACTAGATAGAAGTTTGGAGTACTTTCAAAGGAGGACTGAGGCTCAAGGGAACATTAGCTAATAATTGTTTATTTTAACATTATTAGAGTATACCTATTTTATTTGGATACACCAAAGCTCATTTATTGGAATAGGATGAAGTTGAATTTCACCAAAAAAAGGAAAAACATGAGAGTGTATGGATGGGTTAAGGATCACCAATATATTTCACTTAAAAACCACAATTATCGGGCCCCCGGATAGCTCAGTCAGTAGAGCTGGCGACCCACGTACCTTTGCTGCGTGTCATCCCCTCTCTCTGCCCCGCTTTCCTGTCTGTCTTCAGCTGTCACTATCATACAGGCAATAAAAGCCCCAAAAAATATACTTAAAAAAACAACAACAAAAAACAATTATCAACCTCATGTCGAAACAATGACCATGCCACCCCTAGAACTACATCACCTAGCGTGGCTAAAAGACCAGCGGGGATGCCCAAGTGGTCCAGTGGTGCCAACTATAAACTGTAATGTTTTTGATCCCTTGGTTGCATGTTATTTACCATCACAATTCCCTCATCTCCTGTCATCAGCTATCTTACAACAGCATAATATGCCCCAGAATAACAATTGTAAAAAATGGAGTTGAGTGCAGTGTACCAAAGTCTGTAGAGCTGCAGCACGTGAACAGTCAAGTGATCCTTTGTCAGACTTGTCTTTTACTACCTCACAGTCAAATATTAACACTGTACTATATATTTTTAAAAATCCATAAAATGGTTTTGTGGTTTGAAGCATGGCTCAATATTATGAGTGGCAGATAGCTGATAAACTGACACATGGCAAAACATGTGCACTAATGTGTTATATTGGACTGGAAGAAACCTCTATAAAAACTTGAGTCAGGCTCCTGCTACAATCAAGGATGTTGTGGAATTTAAATTGTTTTTACAGGATATCCTGAGCAATACAATGTATTGTGACTTGGCTGAGTATTTTGTAATTATATAACGGTGTTTAGAAATAAATCCTTATACAATCCAGCTGATGGTGAGTTAATGTCATGCTGGCGCTTATAAATCGACCTTTGACTGTTTGGATTATGCTGTCTGTAGTCTTTTATCATCATCATCATCATCCTCAGTGCAGAGTATAAAAAGCATCATTAACAGACCTTGAGAGAGATAGGCCCCTTCTCTAGACTGCACTGACCCCTAGTGGATTTTATCATTAATACACGTACACTCATGAAATGATATACACCTGGTCACATATTATATATTTTATCATATAAATGTTATTGTCTATGTAAAACGGTAGCATGTAATAATATATAAGGAACACAATATCTCCTCTAGAGACAGATGTTACCTATTGATCAGTTTCAGTGATTCTTTAAATTGTATTTATTATTATTATTATTATTATTATTTATATTAGGTATATAACTACAAACATTGCGACACATACACAGATTCATTAAAAAAATGTTGAAAATAGCACAAAAAAGTAAGAAACATAACTTATTCCCATCGTGGTCCTTTCTGTGCATGTCTCCCAGCTGTAGCCCTGCCCTGGGACCAGCTGCTCTGTGGAAATCTTTAGCCTGTGGTAATTCCGCGTTCACCGCCGAACAAACACCTCCCTGCCTCGACTGACTCTTGCCAAATCCTTTGACATCCTCCTCAGGTGGCGTAAATAACTTTAAGGTTTTGGTAGCAGCGCAACATGGGAGAAACGACGGAGCAAAAGAACTTTTCTGAAGTTATTTCTCAGTTATTTCAAGAGGCTCCAGCCGCCAGGAAGGGTCTAATTGAGAACCACAGCAACCTCCTGAGGGTCGCAGATTACTGCGAGAACAATTACCTTCAGGTGAGTAATGCTCATATAAAAAAGCCACAGTTCTCAGTTTGTGATAGATTTAGAGAAACTGAAAGCATTTTACCCTCTGGGGGATCTAACTACTGTACTTGTACTTTACTTGAGTGTTTTCATTTCTGTTTCTTTATACTGCTGCCCCACTACCTGACAGCTGTAGTTCCTTTACAGGCCAACATGGTGGATGTATTTTACATGTTAACTTTGACTGATTGAAAATGATATAAACCTACATAACAATATATTAAGTAGTTCAAATTAGCTCTACATTGACGACATTAAAATGTTGCTTACATAAATACATCAATAATGACATTTATATTGATATAATAACATTTTGCACAATGAGTACTTTTTAATGGATATTTTAAGTGAATTTTGATGCTAATATTTTATGTAGTTTTACCTGAGTAAGATTTATAGTATTTCTGTACTGTGGTTTGACTACTTTTACTAAAAGATCTCAGTACTTCTTTCATCGCTGCGTTTTACATGTATAACCTATCCTCGTGGGGAAAAAACCTCATCCTGCAGGCAGAAGATCCAAACAAGGCTGTTGAAGAGGCCAAGGCTTTGGCTGCCCAGTCGCTGGCCAGTGTGGCCTACCAGATCAACAGTCTGGCCAGCACTCTGCTGAGGCTGCTGGACTCACAAGCCATGCAGATCAGAGATATGGAGTCTTCAGTCAACGTGCTGTCACTGGTGAGGAACACCTTTCACCTAAAATACACCTCAACTCTGCCAAAGACATTGATGTGACCCTTACGCAGCTTTCAAACCATATATAAGGCATGTTTGATGTGGGAAACTTCAGTACATTCTGTTGCTAAATGTACAAAATGATTTGTTTTTAACTTAAAAATCTGTATACAGAGTATTACAGTTGCATTTTCCTCCTAGTACAATCTTGGTTGTGTATTGGGAACCAGATAAGTATGCAAGTTGGGTCACCTGTTGTACTTTAAACTCTGAGGACAATTTGGTTGCTGCGCTCCATTTGTTTTCTTGCTGCCGACTGAAGTGAGTGAGTGATGTAAAAATTGAGTTCCTGAGTATTGTTGTTGGAAGCTGTTCACACTGTGCTGTCTGGTCCAGGCTGCAGCTATCCACTTCGAGAAGGTAGCCAGGAAAGAAATTGGAGCTTTTACTACTCCCAAACCCAAGATTCGTTCCAAGCTTTTGACCACACCGACTTCAGGAAAGGAGCCAGAGCAAAGCTACTTGAGAGTGCCAATATCATACTCCATCTTGGACTCCGTTGGACACTGCTTTCGGGTAAATTGGAGACTAAACTGAAAACACAATGAGTCCAAACACTTTCAGTATTTTCCCATTAGATAAAGGATGTATAGCACAATGCCCTCTTCTCCACAGTGTAGCCCCAGTGTGATGTTTGGGTTTATGTACAGTGTGGCTGACCGGGGTGTAGACATGTGCTGTGCCATCCTTTTATTTACCTTCATGCATCTTCTCCCAACAGGTTGCTGAGCCGCAGCCCAGAAAGAGAGCAGGGACCACAGACAGCATACAGAGCACTGCAGACATCCCTGTGTATGTGGAGAAAGTCCTCTCTTGCCCTTTTATGGAAATACTGTTATTATAATTAAACACTCTACACTACAGTACTGTATTATAACATGGGCACAGTATTAGTAACATGACCTGTACAATTTGTTATAATGTCTGAAAGGTTTCTGCTTTATGGACTACAGAAACAGTTTGGGGGAATATGCTCATTCGCTTTTTTTGCTAAGAGTTAGATGAGAAGATTGATACCACTCTCATGTTTGTCTGTTAAATATTAGGCTACAGCCAGCAGTGGGTTAGCTTAGTTTAGCATAAAGATTGGAAACAAGGGGAAACAGCTAGCCTGGCTGTTAATTAATGCGTCATATTTCGTTTGTTTTGTCCAGACAAAAACTGTGTAAAAACTACAAGTTGTGGTTTTATTTGTTACAGTATTTCATGGTTCAGACCAGTTGTTAGAAAACTAGCGGACACTCCAGGAAGTGATGGGTAGGCTATAGCAAAAAAATTGCCCATAATCCTCAATAGAATAGCAAATTGTTGTTCTTGCAATTTGGTTTGTGTACATTGTAAAGAATTAAAATATGACCTATTAATTCGTCAGCTTACAGGTGCCGGCAGGTGTTTTTTTAAAAACCTTTAGAGAGAAGCATGCTAGCTGTTTCCCCTCGTTTCCAGGCTTTGTGCTAAGCTAAGCTAAGCTAATTGGCTGTAGCTTCAGAAACTACAGTTTTATCACTCTGAGGATGTCATGATAGTAGCTGAATGTGTGTGTTTTCTTTTTGTCTTGAATGTAGATCCAGTTTTGGCCTCGCTGTGGCTCCACCATCAGTCCCCACCTTGAAAACCGTCTCCAACCCGACAAACGACAGCCTGCCTCCACCCCCTCCTCCCAATGCCAACTTGGACCCCACTGTGCTTGCACCTCCTCCACCACCACCACCTCCCCCTTCCTCCATAGACACTGGCCTCCCGCCTCCACCCTCTTTGACCTCACCAACATGTCTCCCCCCACCTCCCCCTCCACCACCAATCTTCCCATCAAATGGCATGTACCCGCCTCCACCTCCTCCTGTAGCGGGA